AAAGCCCCCTGGGGGTTTTGGAAAGAAATTTGGCGTAGATTTTAGGTAAAAATGCGCCCCCGACCCCTATCTCCGGGGGCCCCTGTGGCTCCCTCTGTTGCTTTGGTTCTACCACTTAGATAGGGAGGTGTCAGCGGGAAGCATAATAAAGGAACTCGCGAACTGCTGACTGAAAGTTCATCCTATCTCCTCCTCTCCCTTCCACCGGTCAGTTTCAGTGGCTGCCAGGGTGAAAAATGCAGGGACAATATCCGATCCTCTAATATCGCTGCCCCCGCAACACGTCTCTCATCCAGGCTACTTGTTACCAGCTCGCCACTGGGGCCCCCCCCCTGTGGGCTCACCCTGCGCCCTCCGGTAGCGCTACCTCCACATAACCCCCCCGGCTTTCTTCCTGCCTCAATATGCTGTGTTGCGGGGAAATGGTCAGTAGGGAGAACAGGGGAAGGGTAAACTAAGTTCTTTTGACCAGGCCCCTTCCGTTTTCTGAATGAACACAGTGAGTAATTGATCTCTCCAGACTCCTCCTGTTTTCCCATACATAATTGCAGCATTTGTAAACTGTGTGTTAAGCCATACCTTCAATTTGTGAAAGAATGGTAAGCTCATGTACATAGCTATTCCTAGTCCACACTTCATCTCTGTGCAGCTACTATTTAGACTCCTGATATCTCACCAAAACCCCCTGACCAGGGCTTCTAAAAATTGTAAAAAAAAAATGTAACCAAAATTGTAAAAAAATAAAATAACAAAAATTACCAACTACCACCAACACTGTCCACTGCTCTACTGACCACGTCCACTGCTGTAATGACTGACACCATTTACTGCCCTATGGACACCAACTCCTGCCCTACTGACACCATCCACTGGTACCATTCAGTTCCCTACTGACACTGTCCACTGCCCTACAGACTGACACTGTCCACTGCCCCACTGACACCATCCACTGCCCTTCTGACATTGTCCCCTACTCTACTGACTTACATTGGCCACTTTTAAGGTAAGCAAAGTTTATATTTTACAGAGACATTTGTTTAATTTATTTTACGTTTTCCTTACTATTTAGTTAGGGCCAGGGGCGGACTGACCATTTGGAAACTCAGGCACTGCCCGAGGGACCGGGTCAGTAGGGGGCCCCATGAGATGCCCTGGTACCTTTTTCATAGTTTTTATGAGTTTGGGCAAGGACACAGGGGCCCCTGATCCCCTATTGCCCGGTGGCCCCATGAGTTGTCAGTTCGCCCCTGGTTAGGCCTTAATTTCTTTAAAAAAGAAAAAAAAAAGGGGTGCCGCATACTGTGATCTTTGACCTCTTTCAAGTTGTTTTGGGTAGATCTCCACCTCTCAAAGGTTGCCTATCCCTGCCCAGGGTATTTAAAATAAATTGTGAGATGTCAAAATGTGCAGAGTTTCTCAAAAATATTTTAAATTACTCAAATATGTAAATGTCTCAATATGTAAATAAAGATCTGAAATAACTAGTTAGAGTCTTGGAGTATCTTGGCACATGTGGCAGTATATTGGTGCACAGTGGATAGTAGTGGGGGGACCCCAGGTCAATGTTTGCATCAGGGCCCACAAACTTCAAGCTATGCCTCAATCTTCAACTTAGCCAATCAAAGAATGCCTTGTATTCAATGATAAAATACAAGGCTGTTCTTGAATGGCAGTGGGTGGTGGGTAAGTTATGACTTTTTGCTGATGACACAAAGGTGTGCAATAAGGTTGACATCCCTGGAGGTGTCTGTATATATGGAACATGATTTGACATTGCTGTAAGATTGGCGAAAGCAGTGGAAATATCACTGATCACCAGAAAATTCAATGTTCTAAATGTAAAATAATGCACCTGGGAAAGAAGAATACTGTCAAGAAACTAACACAACTAATGCTCATTTCCATGCATCGAACGCTCCTTTCATTTGCAGCTAATGCTCATGCACATGTACCAGCACACAGATGGCTCAGGCTAATATCCAGTGTGCGCTGACACGTAGCACATTTCTGTTACATAGTCTGGTTGAAAAAAGTCACAAGTGTATCTAGTTCAATAAATAAAAAAGGAAAAAATAATTTATACAATTTTATAAACACAATTCTATACCCCACAGTTGATGCAGAGGAGGACAAAACACGCCCAGCAAAGCATCCCAATTTGCTCCAGCAGGGGAAAAAATACTTCCTGATGCCCCAAGAGGCAATCAGATTGTCAGAGCCTGGGATTGAACCTGGGCCTTCTGGGGTGAGAGGCAATGTTTCTTCTCACTGAGCCACCTATAATGCTAGACAGCTCCTTTGACTATTCTTTGGATGATCCTGCCTTGGGCCTGTTTGTCTTGAACCTTGAACTGCTTGCTCCTCCCATGAACTTCCTATAAAAGCCATGTCCATACGCTTCCTCCTTGCCAGATTATTGTGCCTTCCCAGCCACTATCCCGCTTACTGTTCCTGCTGCTGTTTACATCTTCGTTACCAACCTTTGGCTTGCTACTGACTACGATTCTGCCTCATCTTATCTACTACCATTTGTGATCGACCCTTGTCTTGTGACTGACTCCGCTTCTGTTTGATCCCTAACCTGTTTGATCCGCTTTTGGTTTCCAGCTTGCTCATTTCCTGGTGGGGTGATCCTGAGATCTGCGACCTGGTATTAGCACACAGCCACATCAATCTCCACCATTAGGAGCTCTGGGGAATACCGGTTAATACTTAGACCCCGCACCCCAGGTGAGCCTGTGTCATTCCCAGGCAATCCGCTGGTGTACCAACCCTTCTGGTTTCAGGTAAGCCTTACACTGCTGTAGCAACTGGTCTCTGAACCTGACCTAGACCGTGACACAGATATTCCCTGGATCAACTTTACCCATAAATGTTAGTATCCAGTTATAGTCTGTACATTTAGGAAAGAATCCAGACCTTTTTTTAAAAGCAATCTACTGAGCTAGAACAAGCTCTTGAAGTCTATTCCACATTGTCACAGCTTTTACTGTGAAGAAACCTTTCCGTATTTGGAGATCAAATCTCTTTTCCTCCACGTAAAGCATGCCCCCTTGTCCTCTGTGATGACCTTAAAGCAAATAACTCTATACAAAGTTCACTAAATAGAAAAAACTTTTGTATTATACATGTTGATCGCATCCCCCCTTTAATCTCTTCTTCTTAAGAGAGAAAACATTAATTTCCTCTAGTTTTTCCTCATAGCTGAGCTCCTCCATGCCTCATATCCGTTTAGTTGCCCTTCTCTGTACTTTCTCAAGTTCCCCAATATTCTTTTTGTGAATTGGTGCCCAAAACAGAACTGCATACTCCAGATGAGGTCTTACTGATTATTTGTACAGGGATACTATGATATATATCTCTCTGCAGTCTATACTTCTCTTAATACAAGAGAGGATTTTGCTTGCTTTAAAAACCGCACCTGGGCTCACTTGCCATTATTAAGCTTGTGATCTACCAGAACTCCCAGATCCTTCTCCACCATTGATTCCCCCAGTTGTACCCCCCCCCCCCAGCCTGTATGATGCATGCATAGTCTTAGCCCCCAAGTGCATAACCTTACATTTATCAACATTAAACCTCATTTGCTACATAGTTGCCCAATTAAACAGTGCATTGAGGTCAGTTTGTAAATTGAAGCTATCCTGTAAGGACATTATTCCACAGCATAGCTTGGTGTCATCTGCAAAGACTGAAATGGTACTTTTAATACCAGACCCTATATTGTTTATAAATATATTAAAAAGTAAGTGTCCCAACACTGAACCTTGGGGTACACAACTGACAACCCTAGGTTATTCAGAGTATGAATCATTACCACTACTCTCTGAAAACGGTTCTTTAGCCAGTTTTCTATCCATTTACATACAGATTTTTCCAAGCCTCTTGACTTTACATTACACATTAGCCATGTGTGGGGAACTGTGTCAAACGCTTTTACAAAATTCAAGTATACCACGTCTACAGCAACTCCTTTGTCTAAGGTTTTCCTCACCTCCTCATAAAAAGAAATCAGATTTGTTTGACAACTTCTGTCTTTCATGAATCCATGCTGCCTGTTGCCTAAAATATTTTTTTACAGCAAGAATTCATCTATGTGATATGTAATTAAACTCTCCAGTATCTTCCCAACTACTGTATAGATGTTAAACTAACAGGTCTATAGTTACTTGGTAAAAACTTTGATCCCTTTTTAAATATAGGCACCACATTAGCCTTACACCAATCTGGTGGTACTATGCCAGTCATTAAAGAGTCCCTAAAATTTTAAAACAATGACACTGAAATACAGGGCTCAATTCTTTTAGGACCAGTGTGTGTAAGCCATGTGGTCCAGGTGCTTTATTCACATTTATTCTGTCTAAATATTTCTGGACTGTATCAATTTTGAGCCATTGTGGATCATTTGGAGCTGTGCCAATATCCATGTTATGGACATGAGCTCCCCTATGCTACTTTGTATACACAGAGCTGAAGAAGGTATTTAACCTCCTTAGCGGTATTCCCGAGTGTAGCTCGGGGTAACATTTCAGTACCAAGAGCGGTAACCCCGAGCTACACTCGGGAATACCATGCGGCACTGCTCCGGCATTTGTGCTTCACTTACCTTACCCTGCGCTCCCGCGATGTGTCCTCTGCAGCGTCCCCGGCCATCTCCTCCGGCCGATGCCGGCATCCGGCTTCTGTGTCCTGTCCCTGTGACGTCGGGATGTACGAGCGCCGCCGCCGCCGCCAGCGGGAAATTTAAAAATTTTAAAAAATGTCTTTTTTTTTTTTTTTACATAGTAAAACATTGCTGTCTCAACCAATTTCACATACATTTTGTCCCGAGTGCTTTGTCCGGCGCCCTACCTGCATTTTGTCTGTTCTTTCTGCCTGGAAACTGAGAAACGTCCATGGCGTCCAAAAAGCGTCCCTTTAGGTCAAAAGCGGTTTTAGACCAGCTAGAGAACAGCGATAGTAAATCAGAACCACTTGCAGAATTGAGTGATAATGATTCGTGGGGAAATTCGTCATCAGACACTGAAAACGATTCTGCGACTTTGCTCAGTGATGTGCGAACTTGGCGTTATATTTCAAATTTCAGTGCTTTTGGTTTGATTATATTATTGAATTAAATTTTTAATTATTTTTATATTATTTTTATGATTATTTATTAAATTATAATTAATGATTTTGTGTTTCAAATTTTATCATATCCGGAATGTTTACTAGACTCTTGTTCGGACAGATTTCAGTGAGTTTTTCCTAAAAAATTACAGGCCTACAATTAAAAAAATACATATTTCCATGCAAACAAATGGTACCGCTTTCAGCACCAAAAATTTGAAATAATCATACCACCAGGGAGGTTAATAAATAAGCCTTCTCTTTGTCATTCTAGATTATTTTGTAAAGGGCCTACATGCTCAGACCTGACCTTTTTACTATTGATATTCTGTATTTGAATAATTTTTTGGGGGGTTGGCCTACTATCTTTTGCAATCTGTTGTTCGTTTTGAATTTTTGCTGCCCTGACTTCCTTTTTACATATCTTGTTATATTCCTGTAACAATTAAATGATAGTCTTCCTTTTATTTTTATATTTTTTTAAAAGCTCTTTTCTTAATATTTATAGCTTTTTAACTTTGGCCGTGAGCCACATCGTTTTTATTTTTCACCTTTTAAATTTATTGCCCATGGGAATATATTTTGCAGTGTTTCAATACAAACAATCACCAGCGCCAAAAATTACATTGTGAAATAATAAATGCTGCTGCTCCTTAGTGTCAACACTAATAAAATAACAAAACATTTAAACAGCGCAAATAAATACACACTCAAAAGAATATATAATAAATGATACAAAAAAATAATTAAAAAATCATACAAACAAATATGTAAATTAAATAGTCCCACTCCAAAAAAATTAAAATATGGTGAGTAAAATAAAATTAAAAGTCCTTATTCCAACACCCTTGACCAGTGTTCACACCAGTTTGTGCTAAGATCACATACCACACTCACCAGATAATGGTGACAAAAACGCCTTAAATATGGGCTCAGGAATCCTAGACCCCATCAACTCCGCCTCCAATCACCAGGTTTAGGTGGAAATCTCCCAATGCAGGTAAAGATATATGCCTCAGACCTCCAAACCGTAGTTACAATCAGCCTCCAACCTCCAGGACCATCATAGATCACTCGCCATAGGAAGATGTTTGGTACAGAGAAAAAAATGTATATAGTGTAATACTGCAAGACTCAAACAGGATGAATGCAAATACCAAATCACTCACATCTTAAAAGAATATAATCAGTATTTATTGTTTATCTGGAGCCAAAACACCACATCACCAGGGTAAAGATCTCCCAGTCAGCAATAGATGACAGCATGTAAGAATCCACCCTCAAGCAAGATGGCCCCTGAGAGCGCTGCACGCCGGAGTGTGCTCCACTCATCGGAAGTGACGTGGTACGTTGGACCACAAAGCTGGAAATGCGTCAATGCATTTCGCCCCACCTCCAGGGCGTTTTCACATGTTTGACGCATTTCCGGCTTCGCTGTCCAACGTACCACGTCACTTCCAATGAGTGGACCGCACGCCAGCTCTCAGGTGGCCTTTTACAAACTCCAATGATTACCTTTTTGTAGTATGCACACCCATGTGCAGTTCCACTCATAATGTTTCAGCCTTATCACACTCTCCATCAACTTGGTCCTTCTTCATACTCGCTTTGAGATTGCTTAGAGGCAGACACCGCCACCTTTCTTTTTACCCTATTTCTCAGAAAGAAAGCATATCCGGGAATATTAGTAGCCCAGTCATGTGAAGAATGAAGCCAAGATTCAGCAATACCAATTAAGTCATAGTTCTCTTTGTGCACCAAAGCTTCCAACTCACCTTTTTTGCTTGCCAGACTTCTGGCATTGGTGAACAAACACTTTAATTAATGCACCAGGGCTAATTGCTGGATGTTCTTCAGCCTCCTACATGATCCATGTTCCTGCGTTTGCTGACTGATCTTCCGTTGCTGATCTGGCTTGTTCCTGACCTTGCTTTGTGGTTTCTGAATACTGACCTCAGCTTGCCTCTGACCATTCTCTGCCTGCTTCCCTGGTGCTGACCTCGCTCTGCCTACTTCCCTTGTACTGACCTCAGCCTCCTTCTTGACTACACTTCTGTTTCACCATGTATGATCCTGGCTCACCTTGACTACATCCCTGACTGTGGCAGTTACCTGCTACCAAGCTACCAGCACATGTGATTCATTGAACCTTGTACCTCTTTCACCACATTCAGGGGTGCTGGGACCAGAGCCGCAAGGGAAGCCCTCTCATGAACTCAGGCTCCAACCAAGGAACGAGAAAAATACCTTGACTCAGCACAATTTTTGAAGCACAGTGTTGGCCAGCTTTACAGGGAAAAAGATTTGGGAGTACTTATAAAATGAGCAAACAGTGTGGTCAGGCAGTGGGAAATGAGGATAGAATTCTAGGATGCATCACTAAAGGAGTTACCAGCAGGAGAGAGAAGGTCCTGATTATGCTCTATCCATCTTTATTTAGACCTCCTTTAGAATACTGTGTCCGGTTTTGGAGACCTCACTTACAAAAAGATATAGATCAGATAGAACAAGTCCAGAGACAGACAGCAAAAAATGGTAAAAGGTCTGAGGCATAAAGCATATCAGGTGAGACTTTGGGAACTCAATATGTACAGTTTATACTGTACATATTAAGTTCCCATTAGCTCTTTAATGTAGCATATACTGTGTACAATATAGTGACTGCTTTTGCAGGGGCTAGGTCACAGGGGCAGACTGACAACTCATGGGGCCCCCGGACAATAGGGATCATGGGGCCCCTGTGTCCTTGCCCAAACTCAAAAAAGCCTATGGAAAAGGTACCAGGGGCATTTCATGGGGCCCCCTACTGACCCCGGGCCCTCGGGCAGTGCCCGAGTTTCCAAATGATCAGTCCACCCCTGGGCTAGGAGTATAACATACAACATGGGATATACATTGCAACGGACAGCAGTCTAATGTACAACATAATGTACACAGTGCGGGGGTTAGGACCATAACATACAACATACTGTATACAGTGCAGGGGTAAGTATTATAATACACAACATAGTGTCTACAGTGCAGAAGGCAGGAGTATAATGTACACCATGGCATATATAGTGCAGGGGTCAGCAGTATAATGTACAACACAGTAAATGCAGTGCAGGGGTTAGGATTGAGGACTATAACACACAACACAGAATACACATTACAAGGGTCAAAAGTACAACATACAACACAGCGTATACCCATAGAGGTATCAGGAGTATAATGTTCAACATAGTGAGTGCAGTACAGGCGTCAGAAGACACAAACACAAAGCAATGTGCAAAATTGCCTTGAAGTCAGGGGGATATTTCCATATGATTAAGCCACATGGTTTGCTTATGAACAAGCAGTTGGGTTTGCATTTGAATGAGCTGTGGAAACGATGTAACATGGCAGAGTTACTAATAGGCAGACTTTGTGAGCCTCATGATGTGATCCTAAATAAAGAGGAGCTGCACTGGGACATTTGGTGAGGATGTTATTCTAAAATTGGCCCAATCTATGTGGAATGAGGTTAAATTATTGGTATTTGTTTACAGTCTGCTTGATAGCTTATCTTTGACAAATAACCCATTTCTTGACCAGCTATGTGCTGTTTCAGATTCTAAATTATGGAAATCTTAATAGATTGTTACCTCATCTCTTGGATTGTTACACTAAAGCCACAAACTTTAAGCATGTGAATGGTTAATTTGTATTTTTAAATAAAGGTGTTTTTAGCGATAAAGCACTATGTTTTGCTTACTTGGATATTTATGCTGAGCGGTGGAGTGTGAAGGAGATGGTTCATCATTGATCCAGAAGGAGAAAAATACTTCAGGATACACCTCTACTTAGTCCATTTAAAGGGACACAAGCGTTATTTGACCAAACATTGCATATGTGAGGTCAAAAGCTCCAGATGAGAGCACATCGGGTGTATTTGTGAAGGTGCACAAGTTTTGGGAGAGATTTGAATGCATGGATGGAATATTCACTGATGCATCACAAGATTTGTTATAGGACTATGTGAATTGCTGAGACATTCTCTTGAAAGCACATTGTTTATGTATATTTAGTTTATATAGTTTTATAAGTTTTTAATCACAGGATGCTTAAGATGGAAGCATGGTATGGTATTTCAAATTAGGTTTGTGGAACATTAATATGAGCATGTGCAGTGTGTGAGCTGCTTCCAAATAGTTACATATAGGTTTGGAGTTACTGTCAGTTTATATTTTTGACACAATTGTAATACAGACTGCTCGCAAAGAGTTTTTTGATTTATTGATATACACAGCACTCATATATTTGCTAGTAGCAGTAATGGAGAGGGTTTTGACTTTTGTAGAACATAGGGAGGTGAATTTAGAGGACATTTTCACAGATAAGAAAAAGGACAATCCTTTGCCTTCCTTATTTAGAAAGTTGAAGCACATTACGGATAAAAAAAAATCAATTTATGGTGGGATTTAGTCACTATGGAGTGATATATTAAGGAAAACATAGTCCCTAGAAAACCTAGATGTTCCCATCAATGATGGGTTATAGAAGATGTAAATGAATGGTTTATGTTTTTTAATGCTTAAGGTAAAGAAGTATTGGAATTTTTAATCAAAAGGAAACAAAGATAAATACTTGAGGTGGAAGTACAGATAATAGAATATAAAGAGAAAATAAAGCCATTTAAAGACCATGCAGACTTTGATAAATTGACTAATGAATTAAACAAAAGTTTGGAGAAGCAAGATTTAGATAACAGATTAAAAAAAGAAGAAAAAATATCAGAGATCTGGGTGATTATCAGGGAAAAGCAGGTCTTTAAATGGCAAACTATACTCCTTAATAATGAGATCAGCTCTGCTAACACCACTCCAGAGAAAGTTAGTATGATGGGGACCCCATAAGGTAGGAATTTGTCTTTTAGGACTCCAATACAAAATACTCAGAATGTCAGGGATCTCCACGATCCCCGCCGCGATGGTCCCGGCGCAGGCGCAGTATGCCGCCCTGTGCAGGAACGTGAGCACTAGGTCCCGCTGGGCACCAATGGCAGCGCAGGGCGCGATATTTAAACGACCCTGAACTGTCATTCGGTGCCTTCTGGTCTTATCCTGCATCCTGTATCCTGAACCTGTTTCTAAGTAAGTTGCTGACCCGGATTGTACCTGACCACTGCTGTATTCTCCTGCCCAGACCCTTGCTTTGCCTGACCTCTGTCCTGGATGCCCCCTATTGGACCTGACCTACCGTTGCTGACCTGGCGTGTGACCCGACTATTCTCTGCCCGCTGCTTTGTACCTCACCGTCCCCATCGTTACCGACCCGGCTTGCCTGACTCCGCACTTGCTTAGCCATCCATCCATCCATCCCTCTCAACGGGGTCTCCAGACCTCCTCATATCAGGCTCTCTCCCGTGGGAGCCCCTGGCGAACACCCCTACCACTGGCGGGTATCCTCAGTAGGCACGACCTGGTCCCGGGTACTCCAAGTCCATCCCCACCATCAGGGGCCCTGGTGAACAAGTACTCTGGGACTTAGAATCCGTGCACTGGGGACGCCTGATTAGTGGAGTGCTAGTGGTGTCGCCGGGGCGGTCCCTTACACAGAGAGAGGTAAAGAATAAGAACAATGAGGAAACTGCAAGACCAGGGAATAGAATCCACACTCAAGATGCACAGAGAGAGGAAGGTATGGCCCACCTAAACAACCATACTGACAGGGAGGTACCCCTCAATATTACAACAATAGGAATGGTTATTATAACAATCAAGGGAGAAATATATACTCGTATAGAGCTCCACAGAATTTTGGAGATGATTATTATAGACCTAAACCACAAAGAACTAGGTTCAGAAAACCTCCAAACATGTATAATCAGGTCCCTACGAATAACAGGTTTACACCATTGCAATATGAGGAAGAGGAGGTGTACTCACCTAAGTTATATTCACTCAAGCATTTTTTTAGGCCCAAATATGGACCCTATCCACAAGGAAGATACAGAGAGGGAGTAGAAAAGGAAGAAGAGCAGGGAGGAGGGTCCCAGCAACGACAAAAAAAGGAGAGAATTTTAGGTGAAGGCATCTTCATTCTTATTGCGATCCACCTTAAAACAGAGGAAATTGATGTACTAGATAGGGGATTACAATTTGCCCCTAAAAAGGGACTGAATAAATTTGAACCCTATATAGGAGTCCAAAAGTTAATTCGTAATTTAAGCATAAAAAAATATTATGCACAGAATCCTACGGAAATCAATAATCAATCTAGGGAAGGAATACAATCCAATCTCAGAAATCGGTCAGTGTTTTTCCCCAAAAATCAAAGATAATAGATATATTGACATGTATAAGAAATTAGTGATTGAAAATTTAGAGACACTACCTATAAAAAAAACATTATGAGGAATAGGAAATTAAACCAGGAATTAGATCATTAGAAAATAGGAAGGAATTGGTTATCCGTCCAGAAGACAAAGCAGGAGGGATTGTAGTATGGTCAAAAGAACAGTACACTAATGAGATGGAGAAATTATTAGGGGACATCAACACATATGAGATAATACCAAATAACCCTACTCGATTGTACAAAAGGGAATTAGAGAAGATTATAAAATATGGTGCCAAAAAAAGGAGTCCTTAACCACTTCCCGACCAGCCGTTGTATATAAAACGGGCCGGACGGTGGCACTGCAGGGTCGGGTGGCCGTCTATAAACGGCCTCCCCGCCCCCTGCTTGTGCGCGCTCCCTGGGAGCGCGCAGCACCGCGATCCGGTGCCCGCAGTGTCCTCCGGACACAGTGAAACACCGATCGTCGGACGGGACCTCTGTACGAGGTCCCGATCATGTGATCACTGATTGGCCAATCAGTGATCACATGCAAAGTAGTAAGCAAGATGTCACTTCTGACATCATTGCTTACTATGTGTGAAATCTGTGAATGATCACAGAGGTCACATAGTACAAGGCTATTCACAAAAGCCTTGTACCATGTGACAAGCTGTGACCAATCACAGCTCACTCAGTTCTTCTCAATGAGTGCAAGAATGCACACAGAGAGAAAGAGAAATGATTGCTTTTACATCCTATATGGGTGTAAAAGCAATCAGTGTAAAAAAAAAAAAAAATATTCATCACCCCTCACAAGTAGTACAGTGTCACCATGGTGACACTGTACTGCTAGGGTGACAGTATGTAAAAAAAAAAAATAATAAAAATAAAAAATAGTAATATAAAAATGTAAAAAAAAATGTTTAAAAATTATAATTTTTGCTTATAAACTAATTTGGATTTTTTTTTTTTTACTAAAAAGATAACGGAATAAATTTTGGCTAAGATTTATGATGAAATATTATTTATTTGCAAAATTTAATTAAAAAAAACACTTTTTTTTCAAAATTTTTGGACATTTCATTTACATAGCAAAAAAAATACAAATCCCAGTGGTGAATAAATACCACCAAAATAAAGCTTTATCTATCTCAAAAAAATGGTAAAAAATTCATTTGGGTACAGTGTTGCATGACCGCGCAATTGTCATTCAAAAATGTGATAGCGCTAAAAGCTGAAAATTGCCCTGGTCAGGAAGGGGGTAAAAGTGTCCGGTCTGGAAGTGGTTAATAAACAAGAGGAGAAATATCTAATCCCATCTACTTGTAAAATTCCAATAATATACTGCATCCCTAAAATTCATAAGGATAGCTTAAATCCCCCTGGTAGGCCTAATATTAATGGCATTGATTCTCTTACATCTAGACTGAGGGAGTATATTGATTTCTTTCTGCAGCTCTTAGTACAAAAGACTCAGGCATATTTAAAGGACACTAAACATGTACTACAGTTATTACAATCTATCAGTGTTTCAGATCATACAGTGATGCTAACAGCAAATGTGGAGTCACTATA